GTGATTTTGGGGGGGGGGGGGGGGGGGGGGGGGAAGGAGATAATATTTGTGTTCTCTTGAGTGTTGTGAGAAATGAGGAGACAGTTGAGGGATTGGAAGATCATCCAATTACTAACGTAATTAAGCAAAGTAATTGCGTCAAATCCCATGATTTTGGGAAGTCTAAATCTGATTTGGCGATAACACAATTTTGTGAGGTGAAAACAAGATGAGGTCAAAGGTGTAAGAGTAGGTGAGAACACTCAAAATAGTTCAAAAAAAGCTTTTGGTTTATGAAATTTTTTCAAGGGAAGAAGAAAAATGGAAATATGTTGTAGTTTGCATTAGAGAAATCTTGTTTCATTTTTGGAGGGAAATTCAAAAGGCTCTGTTAAAGGCATTGAGTTTTGATGTAAATTGAGTGTTTTTTAGACTAGTAAAGCAATTTTCTTATGTAAAGATGACAAAGACGTGGACAAAATTTGCAGGGATGGAAAGTGCCTCCTTGAGGGGTCAATTATGGTGAAGATGCGAAGGTGGAGTCTTGAATCAACTAAGGTTCACAACAAAGTTTCGTTATAGGGAAGGTGGATTGTTGTACAAGGATTTCCGTTTCATTTATGGCATCAATAAGTTTTTTAGAAGATTGGGGAGTAGTGTGTGGTGGTTTTGTCGAGGTCGATCGTCAAACCAAGAATCGTGAGAATTTGTTTGCGGCGCTAATTTGTATCCACAAGCCAGAATCTAGCTTCCTTAGGACCTCACTGAATACCAACTTCAATTGGAAAGCATACCTGATTCAAGTTAAGGTTTTCTCTTGCTTGGGAAAAATGGGTCGTGATGAACGGATGAGATTGTTTGAGGGTGGTGGTACCGAAAATCGATACATTATTACAGCAGTTGAGATGGAGGGACGGTGTAAAAAGGGCACATGGCATTAGGTTAGTAAGGGGGGGAGATAATATTCATGTTCTCTTGAGTGGTGAGAGAAATGAGGAGATGGCTGAGGGTTTGGAAGATCACCTAATTAGTAACATAATTAAGCAAAGTAATTGTGTCAAATCCCATGATTTTGGGAATTCTAAATCTGATTTGAATATTGAAAATAGTGTTAAAGTGGTTTAATGACAGTGGTAAAGGCATTTTGATGACTGTGGCCAAGATCCAAATGTTGCTAGGGAGAGTGTTGTGGACTTCAAGGAAAAGACGTCATCAAATATGGCCCAGTGGAGGAGAGTTTTTTATCCTGGGCTTCTCTCTATTTCTAGATGGGCCTTCAAGGATTTGCCCATTTTTCCCTAAAATTGCAAATTCTTTTCGTAGGACTTTGGGCTCTGTCCAGTCCTCAAGTAAACTGAACTCTTTGTCGATGAAGGAGAAACCCTTAGCTAGGGCTTCAATCTCCGTAGGCAATATCGGGGAGGAAAAGGAGTTTCGAAGCTGCAAGGTTTCAGAGGGGGGCTCGCAGGGGTTGATGGTGGTGATGCAAGATATACTTGATAATTGTGTAAAAGGATGTGACAAAGGCAATACTGATTCTGTGAAGGAGGGGATTTGGGACGATTTTGAGGGGGATATTGATAATAATGGGGTGCAACAAAGGATGCTGTTAGACATGGAGGAGGGATATTTGAATGTAGATGAGGTTGGACTGCTCTCTGCTGGGAGTGGAGATTCTGATAGCAGCTCGGATGATGGTTCAGATTGCCACAAAAGTGGGCTGAAGCTCAGATTGAATGCTGAAGAGGTATTTTGAAATGCTGGGAAGATGGTCGACATGGAGGTGTTGAAAATTGGGCTGGTGATGACACACGCAAAGATATAAGGGGTGATCTGGTCAGTGATGATCATCTTTGCACTTCGGATGTGCGCTGAGATCCTCAAAAGTCTTCAATGGTGGGTAATTTTGAGGAAGGGTTACCTTCTTTCTGGGGAGTGTGGTATATCTAGGGATGTCAATGGACCGAAGTGGGGGCAGAGGGTGTAATCTTCATCCCCGTACCCGCTTAAAAAAATTTCGTCCATCTCCGGTCCACCGCCGTTAACCGGGATAGTTTTCATCTTCATCCCCGTCCGCGGATAAATTTTTAATCCCGATCTCTGTCCCCACTTCTCCCGTACCCGCCCAAGCTCAAGCCAACATAATCCAAAATTTTAAAAAAATCCAACATTTTAAATAATCCAACAACATTCTATATAATTTAACATAATCTAACACAACATAATAGGACAACATATTCCAACATAATGTTCAACATATTCCAACATAACACAAAGAACAAATGTCCAAAATATTACTTGAATTTGATATAATTCAACATAACACAAACAATGTAATGGGGAAACTTTTTTGGCATGTAGCTTCACACCTGTAATTTAATAAAGAAAATAAAACATAAAAAATTATAATAATTGCATAAAAAATATTTTGTAATTACTAATAAAATTGATTGGTTGAAATTAAAAAATTACCAAGTCAATCATCTCTTCACACCATCGGTGATGGTAGAATCTACTTCTTCAACATCATTTTCCTATATCATTAAAAGAAGAAAAAAAAGATAAATGCAAACAAAAGAAATATTTTTCTACTTCTTCAACAGCCACACTATTAAGTGCAAACAAAAAAGATAAAATGAAAAGACTTCTTTTGACACCAAAGTTGAAACAACACATGAATGTAGAGAAACCAAAGAAATATAGGCGTTGGGTATCAAAACATCCACCAAAAGCCTATGACTAAACAAAAAGTACAAAGCTAAGATCTGAATAGAACTGGTCGAAATGCTAACATGTCATCTTTATTTGTTATATGCAGTTGCTCAAAATTATAATCTCTTTTGAGAGTTAAGAAAGGCATAGAAATCCCATGTCTTGAATCCTCTAAAACATACCGCTCGTACACAACAACTATCTTCTTGACCCCGGCATCAATACAATGCAAGCTCGGGTGGGACTTCCATCTTAAATAACCCAAGCACAACGGCTACCAACAGCATTTTCAATTGTACAATGGCTTCAAGTTCAGTATGTTGAAACAACACTGAACCTAGAGGCTAAAGAAGGGCATTTCATTTTTCAAGGATAAAAGTGTGCACGGCAATATGAATAAGATTTGTGCTAAACACTTTGTCTAGATTTATGCCAACCCAACCCAACAAAAAACATAACACAAAATTGACATTAAAGCCAATGCAAATCAACACCATTTCAACTTCCATCAATTTGAGATAGAGAAGTCAATTATGATGAAAAGAGCAGAAAGTCTACCAACAAAATCAAATTATAAAGATAAAAAAATAGATTGAAAAAAAACACAATGACAACAATATTCAAGCAAAGTATGATCAATCCATGGAACAATTTTAAACCCAAGGCTTATAAATTAGTCAATATAGAAGCACTTTCAGAGTTCTTCGGGAAAAATGAGACTAAAAGGAAAAAAAAAAGACGGGAAGCTTTAAGGCAAGTACCTTCATAAAGACGAGATCAGGACAAGCTTCTGTAGTCGCCGACGGAGAGGAGTGCAGGTTGCGATCAGCGATTGAGCTTAGAGGAAGAGGAGAGAGAGAGAGAGAGGGAGAGAGAGACGGGCGGCGCTGAAGCTGATAGAGGAAGAGGAGAGTGGGAAGACATTTGCAGGTGACGATAGATATATTATTTATGATGAAGCAATATGGGTTGTTCTTAAGATTTCTTAAGGAAGATGGACTTATCCTTGGTCCGCACTAAAAAGAAGGGTAAGAATAAGTGGGATGGGAGAGTGTGAGGAAGAAGAAAAGGTTTAGAGCCTACGAAACTTGCAATGTGGGATCAACTATGATGGTGGGAGAGTTAGGAAGGTGGTTGGGGGAGAAATAGTATGTTATTTTGTCAGAATTTAAGTTGGAAGTTGTTGACAGGAGAGTTTTTAAAAGTGTGTGGGGATCTGGATTTAGGAACGGGGTTTCTCACCCTCTCTGAGTAGCATATTGTTTAAGTTAGTGCCTGTTTTGGATGGTTCTTCAATGTGTACTGTTTGTTTCTAGGGCTGGACGACTTGTCCTACTTTGCTCAGATGATGTAATCTTTTGTTTTGCTTATTAATAAAATTATTGTTTCTTATCAAAAAATATATAAATGTCAAGTTCCAGTTGCATGGATGGAAATTAATTTCCTAATAGTACATGCTATTATTCAGAATTATTTGGGCAAGTGTTTATGTCTCTGCATTCTTCTTGATTCACGAAACAGGTGTTTTGTGTGGTGTAACCATAGAGGTCCCCCCGCTTGAAGAAATTAAACATTCATTTTCCCTCTATTTCTTGGTCCCGGGTGAGTACACATTGTTAGCTGCTGCTGTGATTGATGATGCTAATGAGATCCTAAGGGCCCGTGCAAGAAGTACCTCACTAGATGAGCCAATTTTCTGCCGTGGCCCCCCATTTCATGTCCGAGTGAACGGAACTGCCTGAAATTTGATTGTCCTATGAACATATTTGCTTAAATCAGTGAAAATTTGCCTACTTTTAATTATCCTTGGACCGGCTTTAGTGACACTGCCATTGCCATTTTTTCCTGTGTTCTGCCCAAAATAACTAATATGTTTTCTTTTATCAATATAGTTCATTGAGAATTTTGTTCATGTATATTAGGATTTTTGAGTGCTGGTAATTCCATAATGGTACATTATCCTCCAGAAATAAATTCTTTTGCATTGCAAGCTATCTTGATTCTTGATCCTTCCTGTCAGTAGTTAAATCAGGGTGATTGTGCTCTCTCTCTCTCTCTCTCTCTCTCTCATAGTTCCTGATTAAAAGCTGAGCTACAATCCTGAGTATATATTTGGACCACAATTCACTGTATACATTTTTTTTATCACTAGATCATGTAGAAGGAATCCAAATGGAGCATATTATATTCAATACATGGCATATGTTATTAAGGACATGGAAGAAAAGTACATTGGAAGGAATAAAAATCCTTAAAACAGGTATGAAGTAAGATTCAAGGTGGCCATATCTGTTTATAGATAATATATAGCGACGTAATTGGCTTAAAAGAGTTCCAATATTCCGTTCTAATTTTCATGAATTTTGTATTTGTTAAATTGTCAAATTTATTTTGATTTTATGTCATTGGTTCTTTTTGAATAACTTAATTTTTCATTAATAAGATAATTATTAAAAAATTTCTATTATTTCAAATTTTTCTCTTACCATTACCCTTTTTTGTATCTCTCAAACGTGCGCGCACCCACACACATTCTCTATCCTCTAATCTATGTTTACGAGAAATAATTTACGAGAGGGTGTTTATGAAACTTTTTTTTCTAAAAGTACTAAATTTTTGTGATTTTAAATTATTTATTAACAATTTATGGATCTCATTATATTAAATTATTCAATATAGTTTATTTAATTGCTACTACAAAATTATTTTATTTCATTATCATTAATTTAACACAATAATGAGTATTTTTCAAAAAAATAATAGGGTCTTGAGTCGGGGTGGGATAAGGGATGACAATATGGGGTGGCGGTGGCAATTACTAGTATGGTATGTATTTGATTCAAATGTCAACTAATGGATATCTTCTACTCAGCTTACATTGGTTTCCGTACTTTCCTTTAATTCTCTTTGTGATGGATTATCATCTCCATAGAGGATCTAGTTGGAATATAATGAGTTTCTATTGAATTTATAGTATGTGATTTAAAATTAAAAAAAAGGGAGTGAATTTGAATTCTCCTATTTCTCTTTTGTTAAACAAAAGAACTTCATTATCACCAATAAGAGCATAAAACCAGGGTAGATATAAGAACATTACATTCATGGCATTGTGTCTCAAAACCCAAATGTAATGGTGTCTTGAGTGTCCTAAAAAAAATAAGAATAGGGCTATCGTGACCTAGCTTAAGCTCAAGTTGTGACTTTGGGACCTTTATCATAGGGACACCTTAATGGCACATATAATATAGAATAATATTTTCAAGGAAGATGAAATAGAGTATACATTTATCATTCTAATTTTTGATAACTAACTTTAACTGTTGGAATAAAATTGATAATAAATTTCAAATATAGACAATCAATCTTTCTATTGTAAGAAGATGAAATGTGATCGAATTAACTCTGATAAAATTAAAATTGTAATATTTATTTTTTAATGTCCCATCTATCATCTTAACACCCCCATCATCTACACCACCCTACCACAACCACCACCACCACCATCTCACCGTTGTTGCAAGCGTCAGCATTTTCACTCCGCCATTACCTCCACAATCCCATGGCCACCAGGCCAACCACCACCATTATCATTGTCGTCACAATCACTAGCTCACTACTGTTGTTAGTGCCATCAATGCCACCACCACCACCACCACCACCACCTCCCTCCGGATGAAATGACGGTGAGGTGGTGTTATTGTATTGAAGGTAGAGGTTGCAGTGACTAGGGTGGTTTAGATGGGGTGGATGCAGGGGTGAAGGTGGCAACGTGTGGTGTAGATGGAGATGGAGGAGCTGGTGGTTGGAGTAATGGTGGTGGCTTGGGGGTGGCAGAGGTCAATTTCTCTAACATTTTTGGGATTAGGGATTTAATGGAATGGGAATAGATTTTTATAGACACAAATTAAATATCAAAATATGCAATACCTAGTAATGATTATTTCATTCATATATTATATTACTACATACAGAATGTATTATAACTCTTTGTGCTAAGAAAAAAAATAACATTTATTCTTTCAATTATTTACTAATCAATTATTT